GTGAACAATGGGGAAGGGGTATAAAAAAGGGGGGGAAGAAGAAGGGGAGGGGGAATTATAGGTCGGTGAGGAGGGTCAAGCAAGAAGGTGTCTTGTAAATCAACAACTAAGAACAACTTGTGGGAAGGTCATATCCCTATCCCTGGAGTACTGGAAATAAAGGGCCAAGTCACAAGTTTTCTTGGATGGGAGGCAGATGGCAGTCCCAGTCTCCTGTCTCTAAGAGCAGATTGGGAGCGACGAGGTAGTCTCTGAGGTGGGGGAGCTTGTAGAGTTCCAGTTATCTCATTCCGGATTGACAAGGGTTCCAGTTCCAGAAACTGGAATACCGCCAGGAGTTGTTCTGGGTATTAAAGTCTCCTTTTCTGATGAGAAGATGAAAGGGATGTTCCCAGTTATAGGTGCAACCTTTGTATTTAATCAATGAGAGCAGAGTTTGCAGTTTACTTCTCATATAGAGGGTCCCACGGGAGAGATCATGGATACTGAATTATGCCCCATCAATTGTTATCAATTAAACTTGTTATCAGCGCTCACTTCAAAAGCCTGAATTTCTGAAGGTATGGAGGTACATTTGTGTATATGGAATGGGCAGCTTGACAATGCTAAATCACATACTGCATCTTTGACAACAGCATGTCTTCATAGTAGAAGAGTCCGGGTGCTTAACTGTCCTGCCTGCAGTTCAGACCTTTCACCAATTGAAAATATTTGGCACATGTTGAAACAAAAAATATGACAAAGAAGACCCAGGAGTGTTGAGCAGTTAGAATCCTATATTAGGCAAGAATGGGCCAACATTCCTTGCCCCCCTGTAGCGACGCCACTGATGTTAACTAATGCCCTTTCACTATGGGTAATGCGAGTTTACGCATTAGGAAGAGTCTGAAGACAATCAGTATGCCTTACCTGATTTGCTACTAGTTCCATATGTTTTAATGACAATAAATAATCTAAGGGTCCCTTTTTCCTCCAGCATACAGGTGGCAGGCCAAGTGGTATTTTGCAGTGGCGGGTGTCAAGCCATAGTAGACACTGGCACTTCTATGATCACAGGCCCATCAGTTGATATCGAACAAATGCAAAATTATATTGGAGTCACAAGTACGGATGGAGAGGTAAGACAAAAATCAGACAACCATGTAAATGTCATGTTATTATTTTAGCCATATTTACATAGTAATGTAGTATGTAAGGTTGAATAAAGACCAAGGTCCATCCAGTTCAGCCTATGTATGTGAGTTTGTGTGTGTGTATTTATCTGGCTCTACAACTTCCCTGTAGATTCTGTGAAAGAAGAAACTCTTGACTTTATCAATGTTATCCGCAGATACCAACGCCTGTGGTAGGGAATTCCAAACTTTCACTACTCTCACAGTGATATACCCTTTGCGAATTCTAAGAGTGAACCCCTTTAGTAATGGATATTTTAATGCTTATATCTTTCCTTCAGTCCAAATGGTTTCAGGTTCCTAAATAGGACCCACAATTATCCAGGTAGGGTGATGGCAATCATTTGCTGCAGGCCCATCTGTCCAGGTTTCCCTCTCTTGTAGACTCTGACCCTGGAATCTTCTAGTCATCCTTAATATTCAGACTTTCTACAGCAGGTGCTACATCCAAACATATAAAAAACTACCTTAAGCGGCTTGGAGGTTGGAAGTAAAGTCTGCTTTGCCTGGATTACTCATCTTCAGTTATTGAGTGTTTGTTGAATGCTAGATCACCTACTAAATGTCACATATTCTACAATGTGGAATAATAACTACATAGACTTTGCACGCTCAAAAACATTTGTAAAAAATGGGGGAACCCAAGGTAGAGGTTTAATCCTATTGTTTGACATCTATTGTCTGCCACATACAATGCTGTTTTAACACCTCTCTCTGGGCAGGTTATTAACACCTTGCTGCAATTATGCAATTAGGGTCTTGGATAGTCAAGATTAGGATGCAAACCACCTGATTGCTACAATTTCACAGGCAGGGTAGTCCTACATCTCTCTCCCAGCATCTTCCAAAGCTTGGAAGATCCTTCCATCTAAATAGGACATCATTGTTGCAAGTATTCCGGAATAAAGTTTTGTTTTAGCTGATGCCTTAAATGTGGCTGTTATGCTGAGGAAGAAAATTAATGTTATCTCTTGTTTCAGGTCGATCTGTTCATCTTTCTGTCAGTATCAGAAAGTAGCTCTCTGCATGCACTAGGTCACATGCATTGTGGCTGGTCAAGTGGATGGAGCCACAGATTAATCTCTGGGTTCACTCTACTGAAGGATTTCATCCTTATGGACAGATTTAGTGGTGTACCTCCAGAGCTATACTGGAAGGCAGTAACCTGGTCCATGTTCCTGTCCCATTACAGAGTCTATGCAGGTTTTTTGACCATGGTGAAGTTTGATTCTGAATATGTTGAACAGTGGTACAAATAAATAAATATCTCAGCATTATTCTCCCTGGTTTTTATCACTATATCCCATCGTATGTTGCCATGTTGGAGTCAGGAAAACGGTACATTGTATACTTAGCTATCGGAAATTTTCCTTTCCTGACGTCAATACATGGCAGCATATGGGACCCTCCCATGGCTTTTGCATTGAGTACTTGTTACGAGAATGGCTGCCTTGGGAGGTGTGTTTTTATTTATAGTATAAGTGGTCCTGTATTTGGGCAGGGGGTGGAGCCATACCCATTCATATGCTGCCATGTGTTGGCGTCATGAAAGAAAAATTACCCCTATTTACTAATTGGGCTGTGCAGCTTGCAATGTCAAATGCTATTTCTAAATTGTTCATTGGAAAATTAATCAACACCATCAACTGAATCAACACCCAGTGAACAGGGAGGTGGCACAGGAAGCTGTGCAGCATTAAGCAGTATAGGCATTGTCATGGATATTAATTGCGGTTAACCCTTACTCTCAGTGAAATCTCCCCCTTGGGGTCTGTTTCATAGCGCAGAACACTCAACCTTTCATTGTCATGGATATGTATGTATGATATGTGATATACACTGTATGTTTGATGTATGATGATGTATGATACACAGGCTGTCTGATAATAACATTACAAATCTTTTAGCAGGTAAAAAGTTAATTTTTTTAACCCTTGCTGTGGGGCTACCCACGCACTACAATGGTTAACTGCTCATTTTTGTCTAGGGAGAAAAATAAATAAAGTTATACTCACCCAATCCTCCAAGCCAGCGTGTTGTTAGACCGGTCCTTCCAGCGTTTCTCCCCTCCGCTGCAGCGGTCTAAGGTCCCAGAGTCATCACATTCCATACACTGGGGGGAATCCATAAAAACTGGAGCAGGCAGAAACTGGAGCAGTTGCCCATGGCAACCAATCAACTTTTCCCTTTCATTTGCAAAGCTTAACTGAACAAACTGAAGAAATATGCTGATTAGTTGCTAGGAAACTGTTTGCTCCAGTTTTCATGAATTCCCTCACTGTATATAGGTTTTGAGAACGCCAAGGGACATACCAGCACTGAAGTGTAGGAGAGGCTGGAGGATGCGCATGTCTCAGTACCTGTGATTGGCGCTGCGCACTGTCAGCTTCCTGGCGGGCTCGCCACGTGGAGCTGCGAACATGCCGGAGCCCGTCACTAATCAAGAACAGAGAATATTTGAAGAAACATTCCTACACCCAGCTTGCAGGTCTATTGCAAATCTTTGCCATACAGCATGTGCTCTTGGTACTGTTTGCTTAGTGAGCACACAGCATGGCAGTTAGGTGCCCCCCCCCGAAGCATATTAGTACCTAAACAGCATTTTGAAAAGGTAATTTTGTAAAATGATAGTGGTACTGCATCGAAATAGCACTATTGCAACTAATATTATTGAACTAATACATTTTTTTATTGGCTTTAGTATGGTGTGAGTTGTTCTCTCATGAGTCAACAGCCTACTGTCACTTTTACAATCAATGGTGTGGATTATTCACTGACACCTGAACAATATATGCTTGAGGTGAGTGATGTTAAGTCATGTTATTGTTGCTTTCAGAATTTATTGAATGACAATATCTTAAATAGCCAAAGAAATAAACATAAGAATAAAGATACTGTACTATAATACTAGCCACATTGCTGTAATATTTATTTCTATATTTGGGACATTTTTTATAGGATCTTCATATTATTTTGCACTGTTGTGTTGTATATATGGCTGTCACCCCAGAGTAACATGTAGGGGGCTCAATGTTCTTAACCTGCAGATCACTAGGGCATAAGCATAAATTATGTGCCAACCAAAGACTATCCCACAGAAGAAGAAAACCTATACTACTTTTATAAATAGTGTACACACATTGGTACTGCCATCAGTGTTTGAATTTTGCTTAAAATATTCACATGTAAGTTTACTGCAATATAAGGTAAATTCAAGAGTTCTGTCAAAATGATAAAATAACGGGGGCTCTGGGTGGCTTTGGGTGATCAGTGCCGGCTTTGGATGCTGGTTCTCATTGGTCAGTGCAGGCTCTGGGTGGCCAGTGTGGGCGCTGAGTGTTAAGTGTGATAATCAGTGCGGTCTTTTGGTGGTCAGTGTGGGCTGTGGGTGGTCAGTGCAGACTCTGGGTTATCAATGCGGGCTTTGGGTGGTCAGTGGGGGCTCTTGGTAGGGGCTGTGGGTGGTCAGTGCGAGCTCTGGATCCGGGCTCTGTGTGGTCAGTGGGGGCTCCGGGCTGTCAGTTGGGTGGTCAGTGTAGGCTCTGGGTGGTCAGTGCAGGCTCTGGGTGGTCAGTGAGGTGGTCAGTGCAGGCTCTGGCTGGTCAGTGCAAGCTCTGTGTGGTCAGTGCAGGCTCTGGATGGTCAGAGTTGACTCTGGGAGCGGGCTTTAAGTAGTCAGTGCGGGCTTTGGGTGATCAGTGCCGGCTCTAGGTGCAGGCTCTGGGTGGAAAGTGCAGGCTCTGGGTGGTCAATGCAGACTTTGGGTGGTCAGTGCAGGCTCTAGGTGGTCAATGAGGGCTCTGGGTGGTCAGTGCGGTCTTTTGGTGGCCTGTGCGGACTCTGGGTAGTCAGTGCGGGCTTTGGCTGAACAGTGCGGCCTCTGGGTGGTCAGTCCGGTGTTCAGTGCGGGCTTCGGGTGTTCAGTGCGGGCTTTGGGTTTTTAGTGTGGGCTCTGGGTGGTCAGTGCAGGCTTTGGGTGGCCAGGGTGGGCTCTGAGGGGTCTGTTATTATCGGGTTAATTCCAGGTGTTCTGTCATTGATTGTACCTGCCTGAGTGGGGTATGACCCTGCTACAGTGTGGGGCAACCAATAGGAGAACATCTTGACTGTCTGTGTCTTACCAGCCAGTCACTGGGAGTTTCATGGTTCATGCTGGGGGAGTGCAATAATACTCCCTTTGGCTTAGCCTGGGGGTGGGATGCTCAAAGGTGGAGATGCTGACTAGGCCTCGAGTCTGGGGGAGGCCACACATGTGGACCCTGGAGGGGTCTTGTACTGGTTGAGGAAGATAATCAGAAAAGCTGCCTGATACTGGTATGGACCTCTGGAGCAAGTCTGGTGTCTCTCCTATAGAAGATATCATGCCTGTCCCTGTTTAGCTGTTGCTCTATTGCCCAGTGTCAGTCTGTTCTTTTGATTCTGCACTGTGGAAGCCTGAAAGGGAATTGGTGAGTCTGAAGTCTATTTCTATGTTTGCAATGGATGTCCTAAGCCTTATACCCACTCTTCTAGTTAATGTTCTACAATAAAGTAGGGCTGTGAAAATTAAAGATTAATTTCTCGATTAATCGTTAAACTTTTTGATCGATTCAAATTATTTTGATCGCTAATAAAAACACTCACTTCTCTGCCGGCTTCCGGGAGTCATGTCGGTGATCCGGTGATGTCACGGACATTGACGTCACTGGACTCCTCCCCCCTTCCCCCAGTGGCTACGTCGGCTAACGAAGGGAAGTGGGGAGGAGTCCGGTGACGTCGATGTGCGTGACGGCGAATGGAGGGAAGGGGGAGGAGTCCGGTGACGTCGATGTCTGTGATGTCACTGGACTCCTCCCCCCTTCGTTAGCCGACGCAGCCACTTGGTGCGGTGAGTATGCCCAAGAAAGTTTCTGCACGAGCGCCAGCCAAGGCAGAAACTGTTTATTACTACAGCAAATGAAGTAATAAAATGAACTAGGATCACACTAATCCAGCACGTTATTATTCTGAGTTGCGCTACTCAAGCGGCAGCCATTTTGAGTGGGGCACGTGAGATTAATAACGTGCTGGATTAGTGTGATCCTAGTTCATTTTATTACTTCATTGCTGTGCTGTATGTGTATAGGCCAATGTAGTTGGATCTGTATGTGCGTTATAATTAATCGATTAATCAATTTAAAAGAAATTCGATTAATCGAACACAAACATTTTAATCATTACCAGCCCTACAATAAAGCATTTTAAAAGCCACTTAAAGTGACTGGCACCCAACTTCTTGACCACATATCTCTTCACTGGCTAAGGATCTGCCCCTGAGAGTGAAATGTCAGCTTTCTCTGCTTTTTGGAGATCCACCTCAGGCCTCTGGGGCACTACACAGGGCTGTAGCTACCATGGGGTGAGTGAGGCACTCGCCTCAGGCGCAGCTGAGAGGGAGCGCAGCCAGGGCCAGCCTGGCTGCATCCTCTTGCCCTTATTGCCATGGTGAGCACAGGGCGTCATTGGCAACAGGGGTTCTAGGCAGCCAACACAGCCACGGCTCGGCAGGGAGAAGAGGAGCAGCACAGGCTCAAGCTCCTCCTCGAATTCCCGCTGCTCTTCCCCTCCTGCATGGGCAGAGGATTGTGTGTCTTCAATCTCTTTTTCAATTTCAAAAAGGGAAATGTCAGGGGTCTGTTTAGACCCCTGATATTATTCCCAAGCCCCCCAACACCCTCCCCAACACACACACACATTACTAGACATGCGCAAAGACTAAAAAATTTATTTTGGACGAAATGAACGGAAACTAAAAATGTTTTCATTAGTCTCGTAAAACGAAACAAATTTTTATGTTATTTTGGATTCAGGGACCAGCGCATTCTGCGTATGTGTGCCGCCATCCTGGAGGCGGGGCGCATTACGTCACATATCGCACAAGTCTGTTGGGGGGCACAATTTTCTGTACTTGCCTCGGGCGCAAAAGAAGCTAGCTACAGCTCTGGCACTACATTATTATAGTGCCAAAAACCTCAAATGGGGACTCATCTAATATTGTTTCGATATAGTTTTGGTAACTTGTGGTTAAAACCGTGATACAATGTTAAAAGGATTCTTTCATTAACCTATTTGTTACAATACAATGTGCAGCATTGGTCAGCATTCACTGTGTTTCATTGAGCAATTCAGTGAGCAATTGGCAGCAAGACCTTGTTATATAAAAAAATAATATTTATTAAATAGCAACGTATAATCTTTCTGTTTCTGGCAGGAGGGAGATGACTACTGCAGCAGCGGATTTCAGGGTCTAGATATTTCTCCCCCATCAGGACCACTGTGGATTCTGGGTGATGTTTTCATTGGCCAATATTATTCTGTTTTTGATCGAGGTAACAACCGAGTGGGTTTTGCTCCAGTGATTTCCTATGAAACTACAACAAATGGAGCATGAGATAGTACAGGAATGTCCTTTATTAATTATATTTGATGTTGTATCTTTTCAATTGTAATTACCTTTTGATTAAAACAAAGGAGAAACCATAATCGTTATATATGTAAAAACAATGTGATAATGTGTGGTATTAAAAATTTACAAATGACTGGAAATCTTTTGTTATATTTAATTATAACTATAGCAAATATCCATATTTTTGCCAAATTCAGATTGCTAAGCATTATTCATTACCTTCCTTGTTCCTTTACTATATCGGCATAATGTGTATGTAAACCTAACAATGAACATTTCTTGTTTGTTCCCTTTCTGTCTGTTACAAGTTTTTTGTTATACTTGTTCAATAAATGCAAAATATTTGTTGATCCTGCCAAAGAGCTGGTAAACTGATAACTCTACATCCGCCCTGCCTGTGCTGCACAGCAGTTCTCTCGTCGGACTACCGACCCCCTCCACCCGCCCCTTTTATGAAAATTATGAAGGATTTGTAAGCTGTGATACTTTAAAATTTTTGCTCTTTGGTTTAGATGCGCTTTAAACTTCCATCATGTCCAACAGTATATGTTCATACTTTACAAGCGGCTATTCTGTGTATCCACCTTAGTATAGCCATAAATTACACAGTCTCCTCACCCTATCACTGTCCAATACTTGGGCAGTGATAAGGTCATTTGTGTGCACATTTTGGAGGAGAAATCAAATGCTTCTGACATTAGAAGCAGTGATTTGCTCCAACAGATGTTACTCCAAGTTTAGAGATCCTTCCCCCTTAAGAAAAAAAACAGAAAACATGGGTATCTGCAAGCTTTGTGAATTGCCCAGTTAGCCTGTATACAGGCTTAATACAGTATTTGTATATTTTCATAGCAGTCTTTCTCAACCAGCGTGCCATGGCACTGTGGGCTGATTTTAGGCTTCTGCAGGAATGCCTCAAAATTTTCACACAGCATCATGCCTTTCCATGAAAAGGAAAAGTTTGCCTCCGTCCAGGAATACTCTGCCTCCCGACTTGTGCAGTGCTACCACAGCTAGGGCTCCTGATGTTATGGTATTACTTGATGTGAATATGGTGTGAAGAGAACTCCTGATGTTAAGGACCGGGAAGATGGGGACTCTGATGTGAAAGGAGGAGACTTTGATGAGAAGAGGAGCTCATAGTGTGACAATGGGGGACTTTGATGTGAAAGGAGGAGACTTTGATGAGACGAGGAGCTCATAATGTAACAAAGGGGGTGTCACGTACCTTGGTGTGAGCCTGAAGTGAGGAGGAAGGCCTTCCCTTGGAGCTCTCGTCTGGGCCCCACTGGAGATGGAACAGTAGTTGTGCAGACAGAGAGGGGCACGAGTGCCTGTGGCTGGTATGACTGCTTGACACACTGAATATGCTGATGATGACAACAGGATGCCAGAGGCAGCTGGTGGTCGATGGCAGATCAGACAGCACTTGTGTGAGGAGCTAAAGCATAGTCAGGAACGTGCGGTCAGCGTGGTACAAAAGCTGGTGACAGAAGCGAAGTCAGGAGCAGGCCGGGTCATACACTTCCGAGCAGGATGGTACCAGATCAGGAAGCAGAAGAATGGTCAGGGACCAGCCGAGGTCACAAGGCAGGTAGCAAGCAGAGTCAAACGGATGTCCGGAACAGAATCACAGATGCAGAGTACAGCTGAAGATATCTCAGCAAGGTGCAGATGCAGGAGCCACATAGCCCGCCTTGTGCCAAAGACAGGCGTGTGGACGCTACTTGCGCATGCACGGTGTTGCACGTGCGCATCGTTTTGCACATGCTCATTACTAGCAGTTACTAGCCGGACAGAAGCTGTACTATGGGTGCTGACTGATGTATTCTGATGTATTCTGACATTGGGCTTTTATGTGAAAGGAGGGGGCTGCTAAAGACGGATTTAGTTGTAAGAGCACCCATAAATTACACAAATTAAAAACAGTATAACTTAACTGTGTTAGCACAGCCACAATCCCGGATCTTCACCGTGGACAGCATAAAGGAGGAGGTGGAGGGTTCTTAGGTCGTCAAAAGCGCAACGCGTTATGGTACACCCAGATCAAGATTACAGGCGCGTGCTTCCTGAACTGCAGTTACAGTGACAGGAAAGGAGGAGAGGTGGAGATGCACCTTTTTATAAGGTAAAAAAATAATAGTAGAACAAAAACGAATCACTGATTGTTATTAGGTTTATTAAGAGCAAGCTAGATAGGGAGAGAAGCAGTAGACTTTAGTACCACTTTAAGGAAGTACATAACAAGGATCCAAGTGGCCTTATTTTTTTGGTATCGATAGGATACAAATACATTGCAGGGGTTCACATCTTACACGAGAAATGTTTAAAAAAATGTAATTAAGTGGATTTTTATTTTAGATACCATGCGCCTTAAAGGGTTAAATATTGAGCTAGATCTGAATTGATTTGTTGGCCAATACTTGATCACAGGCACCAGAGGACATTGTATCTTGCCCTTTATAGCTTACTCGTCAGACATCTTCATACTGCCTTTAAGTATAATGATATTGATTGTTTTAGGGGTTCTTTTATAATTATCCAATCAGTCCAATCTGTATTTTGTATAGAATTTTTAAATATATTTTTTACCTATCTGTATTTTTCTATTTAAATTTTTTGGAATATGTGAGTTGTTATAACATTATGGTTTACATTGGTATATTTGGCAGCTTTTCTAATATGGATTGCCTGTTTATTTCTACTGTAATCCTAGTATGTATATTAATGTTAGGAAATAAAAACTCTAAGGACATTGATCGCTTGCAACATCAACACTGTGGTATGCTGGGAACATCTAGTGGTTATTTTTAGGTAGTGAAGTCCTAATGTTTTAAGGGAAATACAGTACGTTAGTATGTTGAAACACATAGCGGTGATTCACTAAGCTGCCGAAGGCAGTCGAGTGAATTGCCGTGCACCCCCCCCCCTAAGTAATACCACCTAATATCTTTATTTTTATGTGAAATATATCTGTAGTTATGTGAGATCTAACGTTAAAGCCACTTGATCATACTGGAGTCTTCTATAGCCGTTATCATTCTGCATTTCTGTATAACATGTTGCTGAGAGTTGTAGTCCTCTTTAGCCATTACCATTCTGGATTTCTGTATAACATATTGCTGAGAGTTGTAGTCCTCTATAGCCGTTACCATTCTGCATTTCTGTATAAAGTGTAGCTGGGAGTTGTAGTCCTCTATAGCTGGTGCCATTCTGCCTTTTTGGATAAAGTTTTGCTGAGAGTTGTAGTTTTCTATAGCCGTTACCATTCTGCATTTCTGTATAAAGTGTTGCTGAGAGTTGTAGTCCCCTATAGCCATTACCATTCTGCATTTCTGTATAAAGTGTAGCTGGGAGTTTTAGTCCTCTATAGCTGGTGCAATTCTGCATTTTTGGATACATTTTCCTTTATGTTTACATTGCTTTATGTTGATATAGTTAAAGTTATTTTTTTTTATATTTATTTTTGTAACTTTATTCTGAATAAAACATTTAACAGTGTCATTTCATAAGATAATTTAAGAAGCTGTGTTTAGGGGTGGAGTTAAGGCCGAGGCAGGGTAGGGGTTAGGTGGGGCAACTTGGTGAGTAACTCTTAAGGCCTGGCTAGTAGCTCATTTTGAGCCCTGCTTATGTAATACCAGATATGCATAATAACTATGACATTTTGTGAGATCTAATGTTAAAACCAGTTGATCTTACTGGATCTAATGAAGATTTATTAGCCTGAATTAAATTTTAACAGCCAATTGCATGTGAGAGGCTAGCCCCCCGTTATGTGATACCAAATATCCATAATTTCTCTGTAATTATGTGAGATCTACCATTAAAACCACCTGATCTTACCGGATCTAACGAAAATCTATTAGCCTGAATGTTTTTTGGCCAGAAAATTTAACATGGGGGACTAGCCTCCTTCATTAATCACTTAATAAGTCTGTAATAATGTGAGATCTAACCAAACAATTAGTTGATCATACCTCATCTAACAAATAGCTTCCAAAATAGCTAACTATTTGATATTTTTTTTGATAAGGGGGGCTGATGTTAGCCCCCCAGAAAAAAAACTTGTAATATCTCTTCTTCTATGTGAGATCTAACGCAAACAGCAATTGATCTAACAAAGTTCTAACGAACTGCATACGTTTTGTTCAAAAATTTTGATTTGGGGGGGCTAACCAGGCAGAGGTCCTTATCTGTGGTTTGCATCAGATTCAAGAATAATAGACTTTACATTTCTTAAATATACCTACAAATTGATTTGGAGTGTTCTTTGTGGTTTATATGGTTTTTTTGCACTTTGTATTTTGTTATACTGATTAAAAGCACTTTGTGTATTACATGTTTAGTAAGGTATAAAAAATTAGGTTATGACGAGTATATAGATACTAGGGATGTCCCGATACCGATGCTAGCATCGGAATCGGGCCCGATACAGGGCATTTTGACAAGTACATGTACTTGTCAAAATGCCCTGTATCGGGCCCGATTCCGATGCTAGCATCGGAATCGGGCCCGATACAGGGCATTTTGACAAGTACATGTACTTGTCAAAATGCCCTGTATCGGGCCCGATTCCGATGCTAGCATCGGAATCGGGCCCGATACAGGGCATTTTGACAAGTACATGTACTTGTCAAAATGCCCTGTATCGGGCCCGATTCCGATGCTAGCATCGGAATCGGGCCCGATACAGGGCATTTTGACAAGTACATGTACTTGTCAAAATGCCCTGTATCGGGCCCGATTCCGATGCTAGCATCGGAATCGGGCCCGATACAGGGCATTTTGACAAGTACATGTACTTGTCAAAATGCCCTGTATCGGGCCCGATTCCGATGCTAGCATCGGAATCGGGCCCGATACAGGGCATTTTGACAAGTACATGTACTTGTCAAAATGCCCTGTATCGGGCCCGATTCCGATGCTAGCATCGGAATCGGGCCCGATACAGGGCATTTTGACAAGTACATGTACTTGTCAAAATGCCCTGTATCGGGCCCGATTCCGATGCTAGCATCGGAATCGGGCCCGATACAGGGCATTTTGACAAGTACATGTACTTGTCAAAATGCCCTGTATCGGGCCCGATTCCGATGCTAGCATCGGAATCGGGCCCGATACAGGGCATTTTGACAAGTACATGTACTTGTCAAAATGCCCTGTATCGGGCCCGATTCCGATGCTAGCATCGGAATCGGGCCCGATAC